CATGATCAAAGGATTCTGCAAGTTCTTCCCTCCAACTTCTTTAAGTAAATAATCTATTGTCTTTTGAAAACTCTTCAAGAGTTCAATTCAAGTTATTAACTTGCATAATAATGTGAAAGATTCTTGATTGATTTAATTCATATGAGGATTATAAACAAGTTTTTCAAAACTTGCATACACTTCAGATTTTGAATCCTTTAGAAATTTTCATATTAATTTTGTCAAGTGACAACATTCAATATTAATTGTATGACATTTTCTAGTGGCTAGGCTGCAAGTCAAATAAGTTTTACGCTTATCAAGATGCATTCTTAGACTTGTCACTTGATAAACATATCTACATAAGCATGCTTTAATAGTCTGTAGGATTTAGATCCTCATAATCTTTTACAATATTGCGTGCTATTGTAACAAAGATATCGTCAACGATATATCATTTTGCACCGATTCGCAATGAGACATAACTTATTGAGATCTCACCACTTCATTATTTTCAAGTACCGATCCTCTCATAAGGTTTCATGAAGTGTTATGTTGTAGGCTCTTCAAGAGCACATTACCTCCTTATTATGATCATTTTAGGAATTTGCTCATCAACCTTTTCAAGGATCGTTTTATTTAGAATCAATTGGTCTATCATGCTTCATTCATGTTGTAGACAATGTCCTTCGAGGATATTCAATAGGAGCATATGCAACTAAATATGAAATCAATTTTGGATAAGTAAATGCTCCTAGCATTTTACTTATATTGTCTTTTGAATGAGGATCACATTAATGATAATTCACAACAAATTTATTAATTGTGTATTATCTCCCCTATATTAGGAAAATAACAGACACATATATATATTTTAGAAAGTCTATTTTTATACATATATCATGGTATATCCATTAACCATATATTGCATAACAAAATTATTAGATGAAAATATTTGGTTCCTAACCATAAATCAATTTAGAGAAAAATTGATCATAATTTATTAGTCTAATGCATACAATTAATTTTGTATGCAATATATTGTTTTTGAGACCATGAAACTTTTTTTTCATAAGCAAGGATTGACTATGTATCCAAGACATTTAATGTCACATCATCTTGGATATTTATCAATATTATCAGAGCTATGGATAATAAGAAACATAGAAAGAAACATACTAGTAGAAGTTAAGAAAAATAAGACGAAAATTAAACAAATTATATCCGATAACGATAACGATAAATTAGATCAATTAATAGATAATATATCTAAAATAGAATATAAATATATTCAATCTTTAAAAATACAATGAATAACGAGAATAACGAATATAGACAAAAACTCACAGAAATAATTATAGCAAAAAGACAAGAATTAGAACATAGGCAAAATAGACTTAATAATAACATATTCGTAGGAATTTATAAAAAATCTATAATAGCACGATGGAAGGAAGTATCCGCTAAAGTACGATGCTAGTAGTGACAGGAAAACATGATAAAAAGATAATCTAGTTCATAATAATCTAATATGAATTTAATCGATTATGAATATGATAGGAAGGATATTGAAAATAAAAAACCTGCATAACAACGAACATGACTACATACATGCATGATGAAATGATAAAAAACTACGAAACTTTAATCTTATATATACTTAAGAATATAGAAATAATTGAATTAAGAAGAATAATATGGGAAAAAATAATTTAATGATAACGAATCAGAAGATATATTAAATCAAGAATGGTATGAAATAGACCTACATGATTTAGACTCCGAAAGAATAGAATGGTATGATTTAGAAATAAATTCAGATTAAAATGAACTACGAATATTTACAATATTGGATAGAATCTATGGAAGATATAAAACTATTAGAACAATTAATGGAGGAAAATTTATATATGTACCGAAGAACCCAAGATATGTTATATCTAGAATATATCATAAACAATATTAAAGAAATATTTAGATTAAAACAACTATCGGAAGAATATTACAATAAATATTATTACATTTTACCATGAATTCCGCAACCCCAAAAAATAATATTAAAGAGATATCAAGATTAAGACACTTAACAAAAAATATTATAAGAAAAATAGTAAAAATAAATTACTCACCTACCACACTACCACCTCCACGAATTCCCCAACTACCAGTTCCGCACCGAAAAAAAGTTGTGCTCTTAACTCAATTCTTTTACACAAATAATTTTTTGAATCACGAATCGCAGGTTGACAATAAACACACATGTAATTATCTTATAGATGTATCTATTTATCATATCACATGACAGGTGAACAAATCCATATTTGCCTTTTATACTATCAAAATTTGGGGATTTAGTCCCAATATTAGTACAACTAAATTTCTTCAATATATGTTGAATATTTAATATTCACATCTTCCAGATGAACAAATTATATCATGCCAACTGATAGAATTATTTGTACTAGTAAACTCCAAATTTATCATGATATGCATTTTTTGCTTTAGTAAATTAGAAATTTACTAGTATATGAGCAAATTTCAGATTTATTTCTTCTCAATTACTCTACCTCTTTCAAAGGTGAATCACGATCCATCACGATAAATTACATATCCATATTGATAGCCTTTATTTACACTATCATATATTCACTTTATTATTATGTTTATTCAATCTCAATCAATGGACAATAATCATAAAATTCTTGGGATAAAAACTCTACAATTTTATTAAGGTGAATGGATTTAATTTGATTATTCGGAAGTTGTGCCCGTAATCATATTATTTGTGCCAATAATTTTATAAATATCAAGTTGCGAGATGACAATAGAGACACATGAGACTATCTAGAATAAGCATCAATTAGGACTATGAAGTATCTAAACAAACCACTTGGTGAAATAAGTCCACAAATATCCTCATGTATAAGTTTCTACAACACAGAGGACTCAAACTCAACTTTCGTTGGTGATGGTCTCACAATTAACTTGCCTTGATAACAAGCAATACAAGAAAATTCACCATTTAAGAAATTTTTTAGATTCTTTAATGTATGTCCATTTGAATTTTCTATTATTCTTCTCTTCATTATCAAAAGTCCTCATTCTTTATGAATGGAACACAATCATCTAAGCATATCAAAATATGATAACTTAGTACCTCATTCCACATTCATGTGCATTATTCAATCACTTGTCTTCTTTAGACATATTATATATGCACTGTTGTCACATTCACTACGAAATGAAGCAGTTTTAATGAGATAGATTTCATAACTTTTTTTTTAACAAAAATACATAATATGGTGCATTGAGACTCTAACCCAACGTCTTATCCATATAAGGACATTTAATGCCATAAATCGATAAAATTTAAACCCAATATCTTATCATCATGATACACCAGAACTTGAATTTGATATCTTACTCTCTTGATGCGATTAAACATAAATTCCTTGTCTTATTTTCAATGCCTCAGAACTCAACCCTGAGCCTTCTGAAAATATTGTGACCATTTTTGGTGATTATTAATTTAAAGATAATTTAGATTTGAGAAGTTTTAATGCCAAACACTTTCCAGATGGCCACCACAATTGTTTTCCAAAATTTACTAAAATCATACCGATGAAATTATGAACATGCCTTAGTCATATAAAGTGAACTGGTTTTCTCTCTGTACCCAAAGAAATCATCGATTCTTTTCCACCGTAGCCACCTAGATTAATTTTTTTTAAAATCATAATGAATGGGATACATACCTCCAGCAACGTTAGCTTCGTTAATCTCGAAGACACTATACTACTATGGTGATCTAAACTTAAGTAAAAGAGTAGAGACTTTCGTTGACAATGTGTTGTGAAACTATATATAAAACAATAAGAGCATTATAATAGAGAGAGACTTCTTATTACTGCTTGAATGATATTTGGTGACTGAGATATAAATTAATTAGGAAAAATCTTTTTATTTATAGAAGAAAACTGACTTTTGTCTATAAGTAAATTCCTAACTTTTGGCCAAAGAAATCCACATAATAGACATTAACTATAATACAAATATATTAATTTAATTGTTGAAATATTTTTTATTTTTTAAATTAACTTAATTGTTAAGTTTTCAAGACTACATTTAAAGTGTTCTTCCAATTTTACCCTTGATAAGTTAGTATTATAATTAGTGATTAATTAATATTTAGTTATTTTAATAATAAATTTGACAATAATTAATAAGGGTAAAAATGGAAAACTATGTTCAATTTATGTCTTAATCTACTTTCTTAAAGGGTGTGAAACACCTCAAAAATTAAATTAATATGGAATGGAGGGAGTAATGTATAACCAGTTTTTTTAAGAAAATAAATTGATGAATGAATAGGTTCAAAACTATTTTCTAAATTATCTAACCAAATACAAATTATTACAGGTAAAAAAAACACATTTTTCAAAATATTTTAAGTTAACTCATACTCCTTTCGTTTCAGAAAGAATGATCTATTTTTCTTTTTAATCTTTAAAAAAGAATGGGTCTTTTTTTGCAACATTTTAATTTCAATTTTTCACATGATACGTTTTAGGCTATAAGATTAAAAAACATTTGACATAATTTTAATTTAAGATCATAAGATAGAAAAATGTTACCCCTCCGTTCACTTTTATTTGTTACTTATTCCAAAAGTATATATTTTCATTTTTACTTGTCATTTTTGACATATAAAAAAAAAACAATAATATTTTTTCATGTTTTACGGTCAACATTAAATACTTATTTTTCAAGACATCATTTAATATAATTTGGTAAAATATGTAGATTAATAATTAGAAGTCAAGTCAAAGTTTGAAAAGTAAAATTAAATGGAGAAAGTAGTATTTGTTTTCTTAAAATTCCGTATTTGTTATTAAATTTAGCGGTAGGCACATACCCATTTATCCAAGTACCAAACTAATCTTCTTCCTTAGAAGTCCAGCATCTGAGTTTGAAACCTGCTTTTCAACTAATTCATCATTCCATTATCCTTCATTCACACTCCATTTTCCTGTAGATCAACTCTTGACACGAAGCTACTTCAGGAATTGCTTTGACTACTTGGAGAGAGAGAGCCTTTTCATTCGATTTCAGGTAAACTCATTCTTGATAGCAGGCTACACCCTTTCTATTTTTCGATTCTAATACCTTTTTTGTCAATGATGAATTCCGATTCAGTCTCCTTCAAGCCTATGGCTGTGCCAACAAAAGAGGATGAAGACCCACCTATTTCCTCCACTTCATTGCTTTCTTTTGACACAGATGACTGTTCCCCATCGTCTCCTACAAAAATTCCTTTCAATTCGGTAATTTTCACTGCTCTGATTCTCGCCACTTGTGTATCTCTATCTACAGCTATTACCTTTGCTTTCCTCTTCTTTTCACATTCTTCTATCTCCTCTATTTCGCATGTATCTCGCCCACTTCAAAAACTCAAACATCCTGTTGTTCTCTTGATTTCATCTGATGGGTTTCGCTTTGGGTATCAGTACAAGACGGATACCCCAAATATGGATAGGTTGATTAGGAATGGGACAGAAGCTGAACTGGGTTTAATTCCTGTATTCCCAACTTTGACTTTTCCTAATCATTATGCTATTGTTACCGGTTTGTACCCTGCTTATCATGGTATTATAAATAACTATTTCCTTGATCCGATTACTGGAGAGCATTTCAATATGGGGAGTCATGATCCTAAGTGGTGGCTCGGTGAGCCGCTTTGGGAGACTGTAGTCAATCATGGTCTTAAGGCTGCTACTTATTTCTGGCCTGGATCTGAGGTAAATAAAGGAGGCTGGACTTGTCCAGAGTCTCTTTGTAAGAGGTATAATGGTTCTGTGCCATTTGAAGAACGAGTTGATACTGTTTTGAAATATTTTGATTTGCCAAATGATGAAATTCCGTCGTTTATGACACTCTATTTTGAAGACCCTGATCATCAGGGTCACAAAGTTGGACCTGATGATCCTCAAATCACTGAAGCCATTGCAAGAGTTGATGGGATGATTGGGAAGTTGATCCAAGGTTTAGAAGCAAGAGGGGTTTTTGAGGATGTGAATATTATAATGGTTGGTGATCATGGTATGGTTGGCACCTGCGATAGAAAGTTAATTTTCTTGGAGGATTTGGCTCCATGGATTGAAATTCCAAAGGATTGGATACAGTCATATAGTCCATTGCTTTCCATTCGTCCACCACCAAGTTACTCTGCCAAGGATGTCGTTACCAAGATGAATGAGGGCTTAAAGTCAGGGAAGGTTAACAATGGGCAGTATTTGAAAGTCTATCTAAAGGAGGAACTGCCTGATCGGCTGCATTATTCTGCGAGTGATCGAATACCACCCATCATTGGGTTGATTGATGAAGCATTTAAGGTCGAACAGAAGAGCTTAAAAAGGTTTGAATGTGGTGGATCTCATGGTTATGACAATGCATTCTTCTCAATGAGGACCATTTTCATTGGCCATGGTCCTAAGTTTGCTAGTGGCCGTAAAGTCCCATCTTTTGAGAATGTTCAGATTTACAACCTGGTTACCAAAATCCTTAATTTACAAGGAGCATCCAATAACGGGACAACATCATTTCCAGACACGATTCTCTTACCCAGCCACTGAGTTATAGCTAGTTATGAATATATTCTCTATGCTACCAGAGGTGAGAGATCATCATATGATTTTTATATGCTTCTCTTAACAATTACAAAATATTGTCAAGTTGATTCAAGGTGATGATCTAGTGCTGTAGGTTATGCACCTCTGTACCTCGTGGCATCACTTCACTTTTGTCGGCGTCCAGATTTATAGTCTATTAGGTGTTGCAACTTCTATTTTGTTGCTGGCTTATTTTAAGATTAGTAAATTAGATAGAAAATGAATAATGTTCAATATATTTGTTGACCGTATCCATATTCTACCTTTTACTCCATTTTCCTGGCATGTATTATGTTATCTATCATCTCCTTATATTTGTGGATTCAAGAATTGTACAATCTCCTGCGTCCCCTTATTATATTGACGAGGGAAGAACTTGGGGAGTAGAATAGAAAAACCAAAAGTCAAGTATCTGTTTGCCATGTATGATTGGTAGTAAGAACATTAAGGTCATTGACACCATAGCCCGTGCTCTTGATCAAGGGTTGAGCTTGTTAAACTTATATCTAGTTTATGTTGTCATTTTTGTTGTTCCCTTTGTTGCATCATCAAGGCAGTAGCCTCTGATGGTAATTGTTGTTATTGGTGCATTTTTTTTCATGATAATAATATATCTTTATATGTTTGGACTTGCGGTTGAAAATCTACCTTCGATTGTTTCTCTTTGTTGCAGAACTTTTTGGAGATACATGTTAATGTCATACTTGATCTCAAAGTTGTTTTCATAAAGCATAGCCAAACCGAAATTGCCTGCTGTTGGTGTACAAACATGCTCACTTCTTCTTCTTCTTGACTATCACGATAGGTTGTTTCTTTGGCAAGATAGACCTTTCGGTGTTTGTGAACTTGTAGAGTTTGATAATTATTTCACATTTTTCTTTCTTGATTGGATATGAAAAATGTTCTTTGTGTTTTGTTCCGTGTCTGTTAGTTGCTCTACTTCCTTGGCTAAACAGATGTTATTACAGGCACTATGGAGGTGAGGAATGATAATTTTGGATCACTAAGAGTGTTTTGGTATTTCCAATTTCCTCACGTTTGGTTGGTCAAAATATTTTGGAACATTTTCTAAAATTGTGTACAAATAAAATAGTAGGAAGGAAGTAGTTTTTTCTCTAAAAGGCATTTTTTAAAAATATATTAGTCAAAGACGAATCACATTATCAATATATTTTTTAAATTATTGGACCAAATACAAATTAGTACTTGCCAAAAACACATATTTCAAAATAAGTTTTAGAAATTTAAGCAAACAGATATAAGACATATCGTTATAGGCAAATAGGAATCTGAGCACGAAATTGATCTTTGGGTAGAAGTCCAGCATCTGAATTGGTAATTCCGTCTGTCTTTCAACTAATCCATCGTTCCATTTTCCAGTATATAGATCAACTGTTGACGAAGGAATTGTTTTGATCAATTTTCGATACAACCTGGCTACACCCTTTCAATTCTCTGTATTTTGATTGCAATTTTCAATGCTCTGAAATATACCTGTGGATGATGAATTCGGATTCGATCTCCTTCAAGCCTATGGCTGTACCCACAAAGGAGGAGGACGAAGACCCACCCATTTCCTCCACTTCATTGCTTTCTTTTGACACAGATGACTGTTCCACATCTATTCCCCCAAAACCACCTTTCTCTTCCGTAATTTTCACACCTCTAATTCTCGTCACTTGTGTATCTCTATCTACAGCTATTATCTTTGCTTACCTCTTCTTTTCACATTCTTCTGTCTCCTTTATTTCTCATGTATCACGCCCACTTCAAAAACTCAAACATCCTGTTGTTCTTTTGATTTCATCCGATGGATTCCGCTTTGGATATCAGTACAAAACAGATACCCCTAATATCGATAGATTGATTAGGAATGGGACAGAAGCTGAACTTGGTTTAATTCCTGTATTCCCAACTTTGACGTTTCCTAATCATTATGCCATTGTGACTGGTTTGTATCCTGCTTATCATGGTATTATAAACAACATTTTCCTTGATCCAAATATTAGAGAGCCTTTCACTATGGCCAGTTATGATCCTAAGTGGTGGCTCGGTGAGCCACTTTGGGAGACTGTTGTCAATCATGGTCTTAAGGCTGCTACTTATTTCTGGCCTGGATCTGAGGTGAATAAAGGAGGTTGGACTTGTCCGGAATCTCTCTGTAAGATCTATAATGGTTCTGTCCCATTTGAAGAACGTGTTGATACTGTTTTGAACTACTTTGATCTGCCAAATTCTGAGATTCCGTCGTTTATGACACTCTATTTTGGAGACCCTGATCATCAGGGTCACAAGGTTGGGCCAGATGATCCTCAGATCACTGAAGCCATTGCTAGAGTTGATGGGATGATTGGAAAGTTGATCCAAGGTTTAGAAGCAAGAGGGGTTTTTGAAGATGTGAACATTATAATGCTTGGCGACCATGGTATGGTTGGCACTTGCGACAAAAAGTTAATCTTTTTGGAGGATTTGGCTCGGTGGATTAAAATTCCAAAGGATTGGATACAGTCATATAGTCCACTACTTTCCATTCGTCCACCACCAAGTTACTCTTCCAAAGATGTCGTTACCAAGATGAATGAGGGATTAAAGTCGGGGAAGGTTAAGAATGGGCAGTATTTGAAAGTCTATGTAAAGGAGGAACTGCCTGATCGGCTGCATTATTCTGAGAGTGATCGAATACCACCCATCATTGGGTTGATTGATGAAGCATTTAAGGTCGAACAAAAGAGCTCAAAAAGGAATGAATGTGGTGGATCTCATGGTTATGACAATGCATTCTTCTCAATGAGGTCTATTTTCATTGGCCATGGTCCTAAGTTTGCTAGGGGGCGCAAAGTCCCATCATTTGAGAATGTTCAGATTTACAACATGGTTACCACAATCCTTAACATACAAGGAGCATCCAATAATGGAACATCATCATTTCCAAAGACAATTCTTTTACCTAGCCACTGAGATTCGGCCAATTAGGAATGTATTCTTTATGCTACAAGAGGTGATAAAACATCATGTGATTTTTGTATGCGTCTCTTAACAATTAGAGAATATTGTTAAGTTGATGAACTAGTGCTGAAGGTTATGCAACTCTGTACCTCGTGGCATCTTTTACCTTTTGTTGGTTTCCCGATTTGTAGTTCTATTAGGTGTTGTAACTTCTGTTTAGCACCTGACTTATTTTAAGAATAGTAAATTGTTGTTGTTATGTAGATATAGAATGAATTGATAAATGAATAATTTTCAAAATATGTGTTAATTGTATCCATATTCTACCTTTTACTCCATGTTCTTGACATATATCATGTTATCTATCATTGTTAGTCAGTTAGCTGAAGGATATAATTAGGGGGAAAGTTGGTTAAATAACAGAATTAGATAGATAACAGATTTGGAAACAGATTTCAATTCATTGCAACTCAGCTATAAAAGCTTTTACACTTTACTTTGAATATGATGAATATATACATTACTTTTGCTTCTACCTGAATCTTCTTCTACTTTTCTATCTTCTTCCCTTTCATTTCCATAGTTGTCAATCCGAGTTTCTCTATAGAACTCCTGTCCATCTGCTAAAGCCTCGGCTTCGGCTAACAGGGAGGGGTTAGGGATGAAGGGAGAGAGCATTCCTTTAACACCTTTGAATGAGAAAGAATGTCCCTTATATGATGTCCCATTCAGTGTTTCTGAATGATGATTTGATAGAATTGAAAACGTCAATGAGTGAAGCCGCTAAGTTCACAACTAAATTAAAATTAAACATTTTATTCAGGACTTAAGGGTGAAATGACCTCTAAATTTCTCTCAGTGAAGAACCAAAAGTCAAGTATCTGTATGTGTGATAGGTAGTAAGAATATTAAGGTCAATGATCAAGGGTTAAGCTTATATTTAGTTTGTGCTGCCATTTTTGTTGGTCCCTTTGTTGCATCATCAATGCAGTAGCCTCTGATGGTAATTGTTGTGATTGGTCATTTTGTTTCATGAGAATAAGATATCTTTATATGTTTGGAGTTGCGGTTGAAAATCTACCTTTGATTGTTGTTCCTCGTTGCAGAACTTTTCGGAGAAACTTGTAACGTCATACTTGATCTCAATGTAGCTTCTATAAAGCATTGCCAAACCAAAATACTAAATAGCCTGCTGTTAGTGTACAACTATTCTCACTTGATAACTGATAGTACCTTTCTTTTGATTGGATATGAAAAATGTTCTCTGTGTTTTTTTCTGTGTCTGTTAGTTGTTGCTCCACTTCCTTGCTGAACAGATGTTCATTACAGGCTATATGGAGGTGAGGACTGATAATGTTGGATCATAAAGAGTGTGATTGGTATCTCCATTTCCATTACTTTCTTCCTCTGCATCCTCCTTTTGGTTGATCAATATATTTTGAAAAACATTTTTCTAGGAAAATAACTTTCATAATGAAAGTATGGAAAACAAGTTCATATTTCAAGTTCAATGTCTCGTTCTCACCCACCCAACATCTTCAATTCCCAACCCTCGACCATCCTACCCTATCTCCCATGAACATTGCCCACGAAGTATTTTTCTAGACGATAAATTAATAGTCTTGGCATAGTAGTTTTTTTGCTTATATACCAAATTTTAGATCCAACAAAATATTTTCTAAGAAAACATTTTCCATGAAAAATATTTTTCTCCATAAGAAACACACCTTATGTGCCTTGATTCTAATTAGTAACTGATCACTAAAAATTTTACACCATATATTAGAAGAAAAATTATGCATAGGATTGGAAATTATACTAAGTTGTTTTCGTCTTTTCTCATTTGATACCGAATTTTGCGTTAATGTGAAGGTTGAACAAATGAAAAAGGAATGGAGTGAACTAAACTTAACATCGGAAATTGGAAAGGTCAATGGGTTATAATGGAGCAACTATGGTTTTTATGCATTTTAATATTAAAATTAAAATATTAAATATGTTCATGGGTATAAATTGGTAAGAATATGATTATTACTTTTGGAATAGCTCATATAACCATTCATGTCATGTTTTATCACTAATTGTCTCACAAATCTTTAAATGATTATCCATATTCTTGACATTTATTTGTGGAAGAAATTCTACACTTAAATAAAAGACTAAGTAAACTATCCGTGCTTCGCACGGGATTGAACTATTTTAGTAAACTTACATATTATAATTCGGTAATATCCGTATTTTCGATACATACACTACATTGTCAAGAACATTTTATCTTAAGGCAAAACGTTCCTCCAAAATCTTAAAGTGCTATATTTTTTTTTTGTACACAAATTATGAGTCATAGAGATTTTAAGTATAAGAAAGAAGTCTAAGAAAATCTCCATGGAAATAGTTGGTCCGAAGTAACGAATTTTTCTAAATTCCAGAAAGTTATAAAGAACAACATCAGTCATTAAAGAAGAGACAAAAAAGCCTCGAACATCAACACTCCTAAGTAAAGTGGAACATCACGT